GAGGGGCTGGTAGGTGGCGTGGTGAAGGTGCTGGACTCCCACGTGGCCAACTGTGGTTTGAGTCCTGGAACAGGCAGCTTGTTCTCTCACTTTCCCTCTTTCTCTCTCTGGTGAGAACATGAGCCCTATAACAAATTAAAATAATAATTAAAGACATAATTCTTTAAAAACAATGTTGGAAATATCGTGGAAGGAATCTTTTCTGAGCACGAGGCTTTAACACCAAGCTTATCGTACTGAAGAAACCGTGCTGTCAGCGGGCTTTGATGCCCCATCTGTAGAGCGCAGGCCGAGTGGTTCCCGCCAGCCTCACGGTCGCGGAGCTGCCAGAATGGGACAAGAGCGCTGGCCTCAAATTAGACCGCCAGCCCCGCTAGCCCCCAACAAGGAGCCAGCCGGCCCTTTGAAACACAGAAGCTAGGCCTTGACTTCTAACCATGGGAGCCCTGGCTGGTGTCTTCTCCAGAAAAGGCTATTTTACCTCCACTGAACATCTGGGGGCCCGAGGGTGGTGCTGCAGTAACACCGACCCCTATGGGAAAGTTTCGGCTTCTGTCCTGGAACCTCCCGAAACGTGCCAGGCGTACATGTGCCGTGACCTGGAGCCAGCGGAGGCCGAGGATAGACAGAGGCGTGAGAAGCCCAGGGGGTCTACCGACCCCTATGGGAAAGTTTCGGCTTCTGTCCTGGAACCGTGACCTGGAGCCGGCGGAGGCCGAGGACAGACAGAGGCGTGAGAAGCCCAGGGGGTCACTGCCTCTCACCTGCGGAAGGTGGGAGCCGGAAACAAGGCTGCCGCGCAATGTAGCCCCTCCACTGACCTCCGCTAGCTCTAGGGTCACTGGCTGCAGCGCACACAGCGCATGGGAAAGTTTCGGCTTCTGTCCTGGAACCGTGACCTGGAGCCGGCGGAGGCCGAGGACAGACAGAGGCGTGAGAAGCCCAGGGGGTCACTGCCTCTCACCTGCGGAAGGTGGGAGCCGGAAACAAGGCTGCCGCGCAATGTAGCCCCTCCACTGACCTCCGCTAGCTCTAGGGTCACTGGCTGCAGCGCACACAGCGCCTGCTGCCCCACCTCGCACTTCCATACTACGGAGGAGCTGGGAACCTCACGAAGCAGCCTTCAAACTTCTCTCTGCAGCTTCCTCGTCCCTCTCAGCCTTCAGAGAAGGGACGAGCCTTGAGGCCTTGCTCTGGATTGAGCTTTGCCTTAAGGAGATGCTGTGGGGCTGACCTTCTGTCCAGACCACCAGAGCTCTCTCCCCATCCTTACTGAGGTTCTTTGGCCTTCTTGTCTTGGCGCGCTCAGTGTAGCAGCCCTTTAGTTTCCTTCCAGAACTTTCTCTCGGGGCTGGACAGTGGCAGAGCTGTAGTGTCATGCTCTCCAAGGCCGAGCCACGTGAGGAGATTGAGTGTGTGCCCAGCGCCTCCCTGAGCATGCCAGGCAGGGTGCCCCACGGTCTGGGGCCAGCTGCAGTGCACTGGCACCCTGCTGGGGGCGCTGTCTCTCATTCATGGAGAAAATGAGTGACTAAATGATAAAACAAGAACTTTTCTGGCACTCACATCTTGCTTTGTGGTACGAGAGGCCTAGATGTTGGCCTCTCTCATCTCTCAGCATGCCCCCTCACTGTTTAAGGGTTTCTGCTCCTGGCTATGTAAGGCCATAGGGACCTGCCTCTCCCTCACTCGAACACTTAGAGGCCATTGTCCGACCGTTAACTGGCCTAGTTTCAATATTGTGGCTCAGGGCCTAGGGAGGGCTGAGGAGACGGGACGAAATCACTGAGGAAGGTGGGAGAGCAGCCAGGACACATCCACTCACCACCCCACGTCACCATCTCACGGGGCGCGGCTCGCGGTGCTCAGAAGCAGGGACAGCCTCGAAGAACACCAACGGTGGACACCACGACAGACGTCCTCATGGGGAAGACGCCCGAACCAGCACAAGAATGACCCAAGTGTGACAGACAGAGACGCGGAGCGGCACCTGCTACTGGAGGAGCAGCGCCGGTCACTGGCCCCAGGAGGGCCACTACAGACCTCTGACACAGCGAGGCGCAGTGTCCCTGAGGGGAGCGCGGGGATCGCTCTGGGCACCCGCTCCCAGCCCAGGTGGCACGCAGAGCTGCCACCACACCTGCTCTGCTCCTCAGGGCCCCCTGGCCAGCACTGCCTGTCCGGGACGCTGGTGCTCCATGAGAACTGCTGAGCGGGACCTTGGTGCTCAGTCCTCCCAGCCCGGGACATAGCACGGGGGCTGCTGGGCATCACACAGCCACACACGCGTGCTGCCTGTCGCCCTTCCCGAAGCACTGGAGCAACCTCAAGGGTGCAGGTCACGGAGGGCCTCTGACCGCCAGCACCCAGACCCACCTCTGCCCTCCAACAAAAGCCACCATCTCTCGGGCAGGGCCGCATGCAGCCAGGGGACAGGCTGTGCCCTTTCTCCCAGCCTAGGACCCGCCTGTGTACACGCTCTGCTCTCCCGCAGGCTGGCAGGGGCTTCTGCTTTCCCCCAGCCTGCGGTTATCCCAGCCCGACCCAGCTTTCCACCCCTTCCTCACCCAGGAGCCAGATTCGAACCACAGCCTGATGTGCGGCCGCTGGGTCCTGCTTCCTCTCGTCTGCCCGCCTGACAAGGTGGCGAAGGCCTGCAGGAAGGAGAGGGCTGACTGCAGGCTTGGCACCATCTGCCCTCCCTCCTCCAAGGTGCTCAGAAGCAGGCAGGCCGTGGCCCACCTCATGTCAGCACCCCACAGCTCCCCCAGCCAAGCCCAGGCTTCCGTGACTGGTCCCTCACCTAAGCAACCCTCGAGCGGGGAGTGGCTGGTCTACCTGGGCGCTTCATCCTATTTATTCTCCCCACGATGGAGTGCATGTGCATGCACAGAGAGCGCGCCCCGCAGGGCTGGCTCACGCCCTGAGGCCGTTCCTCCGGTTCCCAGCCTGCTGGATCCTGGTGCACACGTGCCCAGCACATATCAGGCCGCCCCGGCCAGGGACTCGAGCCGCAGCTGGCACGTGGCTCCCCCTGCGCCCAGGGGCCCGCCCTGTCAACACTTCAAGGTCAACAGCACGGGTGTACGCACCGCAGCCGCCCGCTCACAGCCGCGTCCCCGCCCAGCCACTGTGGGGTGGCAGCAGACACTGCGGTGCCGGGCCACGTGGGAGGTCGTCGTGGCTTCCAGCCAGACCCAGACACACCGGGCAGGCGTGCCCAAGAACCAGGCTGGCCAGAAAGGCTGGGTGTGTCACAGCGCGAGACCCTGTAGAGGGTGTTTCTCTCGCTCACTCATTCTTTTTCACAGAAATAAAGCAATGAATATACTTTAAAAGAAGAAAGAAAGAAGGCTGAGTGTCTCTGGCCGGGGCCATGGGTCCCCCCCCCCGCCAGTCACTCTGGAGCCTAAGTGCAGGCCACCCTGGACAAAGTCTCTCAGGGACTAACGTTGCCCCCAGCCCAATCCTTCACTGCCATTAGCGAAGCTTAAGGCCGGGCAGGGCTGGTGTTCCTAGGCGCATCAGCACAGCCCCCATGCCTGGAGGTGCCACTGACAGGCCAGCAGCAAACAGCAGAGCCTAAACCGGGCCTCGTCCTCATTCCCAGAGGCCTGGCCCCGTCCCCGGAGGCCCCGTCCCCACCCCGGAGACCTCGTACCCACCCCCAGAGGCCTTTCCCTGTCCCCAGAGACCTCAGCCTCACCCCGGAGGCCCCATCCCCACCCTAGAAGCCTCGTCCCACAGCAAAGAAGATGACGTGGAGCAAGAAGCAATTTTTCGAAATACCTTTACTTTCCCTGCCGGGTCACTCTGGCACAGCTCTCAGCAGGGGTCACCCGCCACCCCATCACGCTGTCTGCGAGCCTCTGTCCTCGTGCCTGTCAGTACGCAGTTTCATCAGTTTCTGAGAGCGTCATTACTGTAGATTGAAAAAGGAGAAGAACCGTTTTCTCCAGTGAGCTAGGCAGCAGTCCCAAGGAGACTTCGTCGAGGTCTCTGACCACGTCGTGCTGCACCCAAGACCCGTGGGCAGGCGGCTCCAGGTCCGGGAAGGAGAGGCTTCAGCCTCCCCCTCTCCTGCACAGAAGGCGCTCTCGGCTAGGCGTACACTGTCCCACAGAGACGCCGCAACTCCTGACTCGGCCTTTCCAAGGGAGCGTGGCGGCCGCTCCTGTGCCTCACCTTCTCTGATCACTCAGGACACCAAGGCCATGTGACTGTCGGGGGAAGACCACGCATGCTCACGTGGCACCACCTGGGACAGAGCCTGCCATGGGGATGCTTCCCTCTCTGCCCTGGAGACTGCCGGCCCAGGACAGCATGCACGACCTCGAAGGCCTCCGAGAGTCGCTGCAGTTTTGTCTCCTGGTGGGTAAAGGCTAGAGGCAGGCCCCGGGGCTGTGGTCCCCACCTCCTCCGGCCAGTGCTGGGCCTCCAGGTGCCACTACGGTCCCCACCTCCTCGGGCCAGTGCTGGGCCTCCAGGTGCCACTACGGTCCCCACCTCCTCAGGCCAGTGCCGCCAGGTGCCCCTATGGTCCCTGCCTCCTCGGGCCAGCACCGCCAGGTCCCACTACGGTCCCCGCCTCCTTGGGCCAGCACCGAGCCGCTAGGTGCCCCTACGGTCCCCGCCTCCTCGGGCCAGGGCCGGGCTGTTGGTGCCAGAAGCAGCCGCAGCCCCAACAGAGCCGCCACATCCCTGTAGGGGAGGCCCCACTGCACCTGTGGGCTGCTGGTCCCTCACACACGCCTCGCCATGCGCTGACACCCCACCCACCGCTGAGGGCTGGCCCGGGAACAAGGTGGAAGAAGCTGTGAAGGAGGCATTGGGCTGGGTGAGAGCCTCGCTCGGAGAGAGCCAGTCCCCGAGGACGTGTGCCCATGGACAAGCTGGAGTTGCACCCACGTTAAAACGAGCGTCGCGACTTCGGCTGCAGGGCTGACGTAGCTGCTGCATGCCTCTCCAGGCCAGCCTCGTCGGGGAAGAGAGCCCTGCCCTCGACCCCTCGGGGCAGCTCTGGAGCCTTACCAGCTTCCTCGGACTCGCCGCTCTTCTTCGAGGGTGCCTTGCCCACAGTATTCGACGTTATCTGACTACCGGGTGACACAGCCTCATCCTTGGCACTGGGCTCAGGTGGAGGGGACGCAGGTGGTTTGGTGGCCTCCGTCCGGACCTCCTTTTCTCGCCGACTCTCTCGAATGACTCTGGTGGGAAGAGAGTTTTCATCACAATCGAGGAAACTGAGGCTGGAAAACTCTGAGTTTCCAGTCCTCCCCAGGATGTCCCTCTAAAAACATCAGTTTCGAGAGCAGCAGATGGTATAATGGTTACGTTGCTGGACTCCCACGTAGTCGATCGTGGCTCGAGTCCCAGACCCGGCGGCTGAAAGGTCATGCTGGGCATTGTGCATGCGTGCGTGCCCAACAGCTGAGAGATTGGAGAAGGGATTGTGGCGTGGCCATCCCCCCGGCGGTGATTTCTCGCTTTCTGTCTCTCTGTCTCTGTCTCTCTGGTGAATGCACGTACCCTACAGCAAAAATCTCTCCAAAAAATTATAATAAAAAAGTAAAAACATCAATTTCATAATTACACTTGCATATTTTTAATTGCTGGAGGGCACATGCCCTCGATGGAGACAGAGAGAGGAAAGGGGGCACCTCCGATGGTGTGGCCTTGCCACAGCTCCTGCTTCTGTCTCTGTCCTGTCAGGACTCGGGGCACCCACACGCAAGCATGTTTTTCAAGCCACTGGGGTTGGGACTTGAACCTTGGTTAGCCATGTGGGATCCGACCTCCTTCTCCACTAAGCTACAGGCTGGCCCGTGCACACTGTGGATGGATGCTCCGCACTAACGCTTCTATTTTAGCTCCGTGTGCTCGATCCACACGGATGAGCCACATGCGGCATCTCGAGGCCCACAGACAAAACCAGGGAAGGAGGTGGACCATGCCGCAAGAACAGCCACGTTGGCCACCCAAGACCCCACAGCAGCAGGCGGGACAGGGCCGGGGCCAGGGCCGGGTACCACAGCTCCCAGGGTCTGCATCTCCCACCATCAAGGGGAGACAGAGACCCATGCCAGAGATGCCACCGAGCTTCATCTCCTACAGACGTGACCCAGGCCTCAAGGCAGACTCGCCGGCACTGGCTTCGGAGCACTGCGGGGGCCCGGCAGGACCGCCAGCGTCTGCTCCAACCTGGCAGCTGACCCAGAGCGCCACGCCGCCCGTGCCGGGTGTGCAGGGATACCGGAGTCTCCATGGACTGAACGTCGGCTATCGTTTCATCTTTAAGAGCTCGGGGACGGTGAGCGCCTCCCCGCGCCTGGTCTCAGTACCCCCAGGCTCTGCGGGAGCTGGGGGAGCCCTGCACCCCACCCCGCGCCGTGGCCCGCACCCTGGCCAACCTGTAAATGATCGTGATGACGAAGGCGCCGGCGATGACCACGATCAGGGCGGAGAACACCTGCACGTAAACTGAGAGACAACAGCTGTCACGGGCCCAGGTGGATTTACAAAGGAAAAGGAAGATGAGCCTGCTAAGGCCGGCTCTCTGCAGAGATTCCCCAAGTCACTGGCCGGCTGAAGCAACCCTGTAGCCCTCCCCACCCATGGAGGCGTGCTGTCTCTGTCCCGTCAGTGCCCGTGACCTGGCCCTTACCCCAGGAGCGGGTCCGTGGGGCTCAGGTCAAACTCTCCCCACGACTGGAGTAGGGAAGTGGTTCTGGGTGAAGGGTAAACCCCACTGCTGTTCTGCAGCTTCAGGACCAGCAGGTGCCATAACGGTTACATCATGGACTCCCACGTGGTTGACCGCGGTTCAAGTCCCGGACCTGGCAATTTAAAACTCATACCAGGCATGTGTGCGTGCGCGCAAGATCCCCAGAGGAGAATGGAGGAGGAGGGAGTGCAGCGTGGTCATCCCCCTGGGGGTAATTTCTCGTTTCCTATCTCTCTGGTGAGCACATGTACCCTGTTGCAAAAATCTCTTTCAAATAAATAAATCAGCAGCTTCCACAGTCCCCAGTGCCCATGGCTTCTCAAAGCCCACGCCCGGTCAGAGTCAGGGCCTTTCACGGTGACCGTGCAGGGGACTTTCTCCGCTGGGGCAGCTGCAGCTTGTGTGCTGGCCTGGCCTCTCCATGGGCCAGGGACAAGGCAGTTAGCAGGGAGGACCTAGGCGTGGCCACTCGCGCCTTCCCTGGGCCTCCTCAGGGGCTGCCCACTGAGGAAAGACGGCCACGCTCAGGCTCGGTGGCAGAGGCCTGCCGCACTCGGTGCCCAGCACAGGTGAGTCGATCCCCTGGGGCCGATGGCTCTTCTCCGACTGCTCACTGGCTGGGGCCAATGGGGGGATGGCCCGCAGGCCCCTCAGGCCCCATGCCAGCGATGTCCTGGGGCCAGGTAGGGGTCTCGCCCTGCTTTCCCCATCGATGTTTTCATCCAGTGACGGAAGGGTTTTAAAAATTAATCCAGGTGAAGGCCTCAGCGTGGTGGCTGCCCAGCAGCAGTGCCTGTGATCCTTACTGTCCTGTTACCGGCGCCAGTTCTCTCTAAGCGCCTTCTTATTCATTCAAAGCACAAAAGTGGCCTGACCTGAGTGACGTGACTTGTTCCCAAGTCCTCACCTCTGCCTCTAAGCTGCTGCCAGTGTCTGGGCTGCTGGTGATGCCGGAGCCTCTTCCCCAGGGGATTCCTGGAGTCCTGCCTGGCGACGGCAGTACCACAGGCTGGTATTGTGGTGACTCAGACGAGGAACACCTAATGTCTCCCAGTTCTGGAAGCAGACACCCAAGATCAATGTGGTGGCGGCTTCAGGGGAGGAGCCTGCTTCGAGCCCCTGGCAGTGGCTGGTACTTTCTGGCAGTCCTTCCATGAGGACGCGTCACCCCAAACTCCACCTCTGCCATCACGTGGCTGTGTCTGGTGTCTCTGTCTCTGCATCTCTCTCCTCATTTCCCAGGACACCAGTTACATTGGGCTAAGGGCTCGCTCTGCTCCAGGGCGGCCTGACCTGAGGGGTCATGCCTACAGAGCAGAGCCACGCTCGCAGGCACCGGGACCCTGGGTGTCAGCGTGTGCTCAGGGGACACAGGGCAACCCACAGCGGGCGTAAGCCAGACACGCAGAGGACGCTGCCGCTCAGCCGCGCACAGGCGTCCGGGGTCTGCAGGGTCTTGGGAATGGACGAGGCTGCCCGGACCCATCACATGGAGAGTGGAGTCCGAAAGCCGGGAGCTGGTTGAGCAGAACCAGGCCGGGATGGAACCCTCCGAACTCTCCCTTCAGACAGGATGCGAATCCTCCGCCGCTCCAGGAGAGTGGCCGTGGGCGAGGGCCGAGGAGGGCAGTCGCCAGGCGGCAGGCTCCCCCCAGTGAGTGCCAGTGGGGAGCTCCCTCCCTAGTGAGGACTTCTCCAGGCAGTCTGCTCACCGCAGGGAGCAGAGGCAGCCTCCCCCTCAAGCCTTCAGGGCTCTAGACTCGGCTCTGCCCGTCTGCTCGGAGACAGACGCCCACAGGACCGGGGCTGGCTGTCCGCACAGGCACTGGGGGCAGAGGGCGACTCCTGAGCTGAGTTCAAAGCATGCTGCGGATCCTGCCCAGCTCCTCCCGGACATTTGCTCCGGAGAGGCCGTCAGCCCTCATAGCGAGGAAGAGGCTTCGCGCTAGCACTCAGGCAGTGAGCCATTTCCGAGGCAGGGCCTGCAGCCCCGGTCGCGCCGTCATGGGACCGCAGCCACGCAGACATCTGGACTGCAGTCCCACCCGCACAGCTAAGTCTGCGGGTGTTGCTCGAAGCTCTTAAGCTTGGGGTGGTTTGCTATGCAGCGGTAGATAACTAATTACTGCAACTAATTACCACACGGTGTAGCAAAGGGTTTGCACGGGGAAGTGCGCTCTAACTAGTGATGAACGACAGAAGCAACTGAATCAAATACAGCAACAGAGTGCATTAAAAGTTTTTAAAGGACAAGAACCCTCAAATTATTAAGTTCTAGAGAATGTGTATCCCTTATGACTTTGTGTCTTAGTTCACAGAATAGATTCCAAGACACACACGTGAAGCCGGGGCTGTAGCGCCCTGTTGTCAGCACCCCGTGAGCCCCTGCCCTCGTGCCCGGGCTTCCTGCCACCGATGCCGCACTCCTACAGGCGGAGACTGAACTGCTGTGAGTCTCCCTGCGTAGCACCTGGCCAGCCATGCTACTGGTCACAAACTGCACATATCCTTTATCATAAACCATACGGTATTATTGGGTTTGGGGGGGGTTGTCTCTTTTTTTTGTTTTTGAGAGGTTTTTGCTATAGGTCACGTGTGCTCGCCAGAGAGACAGAGAGACAGAGAGACAGAAAGCGAGAAATCAACCCCCAAGGGGGATGGCCATGCCGCAGTCCCTTCTCCTCCATTCTCCTCTCGGAATCTTGGGCACACATGCACACGCGCCCGGCATGAGTTTAAGCCACCAGGTCCAGGACTCGAGCCACAGTTGACTACATGGGAGTCCAGCGACATAGCCATTACACCAACTGATGGTCCCCCTTGGTTTTTCAGAATAGCACCAAATGAAAAAATGATTTTCTCTGAGAAATATCTTAACAAACGACCCCAAGATATAGTTAAGCAAAAGTTTCGAAATCATCTCAGCAAGTCCCGTGAAGAAACTGAAGCCCAGCGCCGAGGAGAAATGACATATTACGTCACGGAACCTGAATCGAGGCGCAAAATGAGGGCAAGTCTTCCCTTCTGAGTTCCCAAGTCTTCCAGAAAGATCTCAGGCAGGCACTGGGGGCAGAGGGCGACTCCTGAGCTGAGTTCAAAGCATGCTGCGGATCCTGCCCAGCTCCTCCCGGACATTTGCTCCGGAGAGGCCGTCAGCCCTCATAGCGAGGAAGAGGCTTCGCGCTAGCACTCAGGCAGTGAGCCATTTCCGAGGCAGGGCCTGCAGCCCCGGTCGCGCCGTCATGGGACCGCAGCCACGCAGACATCTGGACTGCAGTCCCACCCGCACAGCTAAGTCTGCGGGTGTTGCTCGAAGCTCTTAAGCTTGGGGTGGTTTGCTATGCAGCGGTAGATAACTAATTACTGCAACTAATTACCACACGGTGTAGCAAAGGGTTTGCACGGGGAAGTGCGCTCTAACTAGTGATGAACGACAGAAGCAACTGAATCAAATACAGCAACAGAGTGCATTAAAAGCTTTTAAAGGACAAGACCCTCAAGTTATTAAGTTCTAGAGATGTGTATCCCCTTATGACTTTGTGTCTTAGTTCACAGAATAGATTCCAAGACACACACGTGAAGCCGGGGCTGTAGCGCCCTGTTGTCAGCACCCCGTGAGCCCATGCCCTCGCGCCCCTGCCACCGATGCCGCACTCCTACAGGCGGAGACTGAACTGCTGTGAGTCTCCCTGCGTAGCACCTGGCCAGCCATGCTACTGGTCACAAACTGCACATATCCTTTATCATAAACCATACGGTATTATTGGGTTTGGGGGGGGTTGTCTCTTTTTTTTGTTTTTGAGAGGTTTTTGCTATAGGTCACGTGTGCTCGCCAGAGAGACAGAGAGACAGAGAGACAGAAAGCGAGAAATCAACCCCCAAGGGGGATGGCCATGCCGCAGTCCCTTCTCCTCCATTCTCCTCTCGGAATCTTGGGCACACATGCACACGCGCCCGGCATGAGTTTAAGCCACCAGGTCCAGGACTCGAGCCACAGTTGACTACATGGGAGTCCAGCGACATAGCCATTACACCAACTGATGGTCCCCCTTGGTTTTTCAGAATAGCACCAAATGAAAAAATGATTTTCTCTGAGAAATATCTTAACAAACGACCCCAAGATATAGTTAAGCAAAAGTTTCGAAATCATCTCAGCAAGTCCCGTGAAGAAACTGAAGCCCAGCGCCGAGGAGAAATGACATATTACGTCACGGAACCTGAATCGAGGCGCAAAATGAGGGCAAGTCTTCCCTTCTGAGTTCCCAAGTCTTCCAGAAAGATCTCAGGCTAATTCCAAGCTCACATTCGTATAATCCAGGTCACAGCATAGCACAGCGTGCACTTCAAAGCAGCCCGTTTCAGAATAGTGAAAGGTTTTCCTAACATGCGGCTATGTGCACAAAGAACTGACTCCTAATACCCCGTCACCGAATACTACAACTTACACAGCACAAAGGGTCACTGCCGTCTTGAATCAAAAAGATGCCAAACAAGTGAACGGTAATTTGAAGGCGCAGTGAGACCCCAAACGCAGGGCACGCGGCCCAAGCTCTTCCTACGGACGCCCACCCTCTCGGGTTGAAAGAAGCCAGAAGGTAAGGAAACACTTCACCCACACAGCCCCTTTATTAAAATCAAAACAATGGAAAGATGGTTAATATTGCTTCCATCGAGAATGGCATACCCACTTGCCCTGGCATGTACAGAGAATTCTCCAGAGAGCATGTTTTTCCTGAGTCCCTAAGGACACCGTTAA